CCGCCCGGCCGATGTGTCAGACTTCTTCACGAAAGCTCTGAACGAAAGAATGAAGAAACACCGTGTCCCTCGAGCGAGAGGTTCACTGGACAACTCTTGCACGCGACAGGACGAATGGAGACGTTGCTGGCGCCGCTCGAGCAATTCGATGATCAACGGGACGACAGGTGATACAGGTCATACAGATCTGCGATAAAACGATCAGATTCGCGAACAAAAACATCTATGTATTTTTTTAGGATTTTTTTTTGTAAAAACATGGCATCATAAACTACAGACGCTTTGCTCTTTTAATGCGTTCCTATTAAAATAGATTTTTAAGGGAAATTACCTTTGCTTTTTCTTCCCACTTATGTTTTGCAGTGCTACGCTAAGCGCAACGCAATTTTCGGAGCAAGCCTACAAGCACCAGTAACCGCCGCATCTCTAGAAAAGAGTGCCGATATCTTACCTTGATGAGGAACTTCTGTCACGATATAAAGACTCTAACGGCAGGAGTATGAGAATAGGAAGATCGAGTAAGCATTTCAACAGGCAGAGGTTTCGAAATCATGGCGCTATGACCAATTCCACGAAGGATACGGCTAATAAGCAAGGACCTGGCACGTTGAGTGTTTGAAAGCCCTCTTTACCAAGTGGGTTCCTCACCTCCTCACACTCAGCAAAGGCAATTCCTGACCACGCCATGCATAAGCATGTATGAGGAACCTTGAGCATTTCGCCATATGATACCTAGACTTAGCGCACCAGCGGTATGAGGTGACTTGCAGTGATGTTCTCTGTGTAATACAGAACAGTGCAGGGGCATAAGCTTTTATGGAATTCAAGCATTCGGCGCTATCGCAACATACGAGGCATTTCGGAAGCAATACACTTAGAACCGCGTAAAACATTTCCTTTTTTTTTAACAAGGCTAAGCCTTCGGGGGACGAGAGAATCTATTGTGCGTGAGCAGTTTTCACTTCCTCGGCATTCTTGCGCCTTTCTGGGCTTGGAGCTAGAGGGTGCCCCGTGATAGCGGCGAGAAGCAATCTCAAAGATAACGACAGCCTTGAAAGCGATCGGGCGATTTGAGGAAGAAGTCATGCTCTATATTCATGCGCAGACTCTGACTATGGTGTCATGGTTTAGGCCATCTCCGCTTCTGTTACAGAGGCGAATTGTGCTTAACTTATTATATCATATCTTATGAACATCACTGCTTTCTAGAGCGCCCTCTAGTCACGGAACAAAAAAGAAAAAAAATGTGTAAACATTACCTGTGAAAGTTACAAAGTGGTGATTCTCTCCAATTCACCACACAACTAAATTGACTCAACCTCATATAAGAAGCAAATCTCATTCGTGCGCCCTTAATTTCTATGAGGAAGCGTTACCGTTCATAGGCGGCCTCAAGAACGGTGTGGTTTGAAGGTTTCGGTCTTTTCTGGCCGGATTTAAATTCAAGCGAGACCCTGTATGGGGCATCCTCGTCGGATAATATGACCGGCAGTTGACAATTTGACATGTCGAGCAATCGAGAAACCCCCATCTTGAAAACTCAAGATCGAGTGGCGTTTGAAATGATCTCCCAACCTATCCTAAGCATTTTGAAGCGGATAATTTAAAGGCACAGACCAGGCAGGAGTCGTGTGAGCAATCGTTTCGGTTTGGAATACACTTCTGAAAGACAATCACAGAAGTGGTACTTCCGTGTTTGGTTATTGCCCGGAAAGGGCGATAACGCCTAGCAAAGTTAGCTGCAACAGCTGCATATTCCCCTCCGTACCAGGCTGTTCCCTGACGTGCTCTCGCCTGTTGCACTCTCTCACCTCATACACTCCTTTCAGTATCTCAATGTCACTGCACACCGCATTACGAGTATAAGGAGAACCTTACCTTAAGAACTGCTAACAACTACTTTACATTTCTTCCTTGCACCGCCCCACTTTCACCAAAACTCTCATATTCGTGTGTAAAAACATGCCATTTTTATCCCGATGGGTGCCTTTAAGACACTGAAAAGAGGAGAGAATTTCTCAGGATCTCAGTGCTATTGTTGCTGATAGTGTTGTCGAGTGTACCGTTCAGGAAATGTGGGTATTCAGAAGAACCGATACATCTAGGACCCATGTTTTCAAAAGAAACTGGAAAATCTACTTGTGTTTACTACCATCCCATATGCAATATATCAAAACAGTTCCCCTGAAGTATCACTGATAAATTCGGAAAGAAACCCTCACATGGTTCAGAGCTACCGGTGATAGTTGGCGTGAACCTATACTTTCATGGCTCCCGTGAAGATTCCTCAAGGATTCACAGGTCAGCCGATGATCGTCGCACTTCAGTGTACTTAAGATTTACCTGCAATCTCAAAATCAGTCGAGCGGGGAAGGGATAAGAATACGCAACTGCTGAATGAGCTAAATTGCAAAATGTTCAGAATTTGGCTAAAATTCCCACTTCCCAAAAATTCTTTAAACATGACTTCCAAAAATACCCAGAAAAGGTTTTCTAGACATGGTCTCAGAGATGAAATTCAGCCGATAAGCCATTTGAAATAAAAGTTCCACGAACGGCCCGAAATCATTGAAATACATGGACAACTAATGTAGCAAGAAGAAGGAAGCTGGAGAAGACACGTCTTCCAAAGATACAACGCCAATAGACACGACTTGCCCCTCAAAGACATTGCAAATACAACCTCATTCGTGGGAGTTGCCAACCAGCGGTTGACCCCAATTCGAAATCGATCGCTTGACTTTCTTATGAAAATACATGTACTAGTGTCCAAGTGTCACACGCATCAGCAATACAGCCGTTCGAGTGAATGTGAATTAAATGCCTATCGATCATATTGGCACAATGTCACCAGACTACCACAACCAGAACGTGTTCTAGAATCAACGCGAGAATTTTTGATATACGAAGAATGATGAGGACGCTAAAAGTGACAGGGAGACTTTACCAGAGCGGAATTCGCTTGCGTTGGTTGAAAAACAATCAAACACTTTGAAGCCTTATTTTGCTTGTATGTATTTTGCCGCTCCGTAGTAAGTAATTGTCGGAGATTTGTAAGCGCCACTCTTGAAGAATAATTTCTCAATCAGAATTAGCAAATTATAATATCCTTAATTACTGAATAATGAGAACGCTATAACTGATAGCCGACAAACTCAGAGTGAGGGTTCTGTGGAGAGGCCAATTGGTGAATGTGTTTGCTCAAGGCAAGTTTCAGATGAGAGATTACTTCGTTTACTTGTCACTCGAAAAGCTGTTTACGTAGCGGAAGAGAAACGACAAATGACAGAAAATTGAACGCAGTAATTTTGAGTACTGCATAACAAGTGTCAAAGAGAGAGGAAACGGTAACTGTGCGATAAAAAAATAATTCAAAAAAAATCCCAAGTACAGGAGAAAAGGCACAAATCGAAACTAGCAACGTCTTAAAGAGAAGGCAAAGCAAAGAAATTACTGGAAAAAGAGAATAGCTGACACCTGAAGAGCGTAAATGAAAATGCGAAAGCGGTACGAATTGAGGAACACGTTAGCATGAGACGCCCTTACCAGCTGTGCACGGAGCTCCCGCAACCTTTCTCCGACGGTAAGCTAATCTGTGTTTGTTATTGCAACCCGAGCCCCGCCCTCAGCGAATATCGACCTTTACACCCACTAGGTCCCGAAGCGAACGCGTGCCCACAGTAATTCCAGGATCTTACTCTGAAGTGACTGCTGATTCGTTATGAGTTTTTACTGTGATGGAAAGCAAGCGAACTATCATCTAAAAAGTGGAGATGTATCCATGGATGATGAAAATGTTAAAACGCTTGTTTTCGAGTCGTTGTAAATGATTTTAAGTGATTACGATGACTTTGGAGCTTTAACTTTTTTTTCATTTCTCTTCGCCAACTGTGTTACTCTAGAGCAACAGGGCTAAGTGCTATGGGAACATGTAAATGCTGTTGCTTCAGAGGATGATGTATGTGTATGTGAGACTGCTGCCCGCTGCTAAACTGTCACGAAAATCGGGGAATGCGAGAGCCAGGGGGAGAGTAACCAGTTTAGGGGAGTGGGGGGGGGGTGAGGGCAGTCACTTGACATGCGTGAAAAGCTATGCGTGCCCACCCCACTTGTATAGAGCCAAATGAGTACTGAACTACACACCCCTTACCTAGATGAGCGTCGTTCACCGCTTTTTTTACCAATTCGATTAACTCAATGTGTATGTATAAAGAACTCCAAATTCTGAATAAGAATGATTAGCCTTTTTATGCTCGTGGTTTTGATTCCGATTGTTACAAGAATGAATGAAATTTTGAAGAAGCATGTTTTTTTAGTGCATTTACAGTGATAATTGTTCCGAGTACTTGTCGCTATTGCTAAGCTGGGAGCGGCAAACGGAGCAGAAAGGCTGCAGCTAAAGAAGTAAACAGATTTCTCCAGAGAGCATCAAGTAGCCGGCTATGCACACATGCTTATTCGTTAAAATATAGGCAAAAAAAGCCCTCGCAGCAGCTGAGAAGTTGGGCATCATAACTCACCGACAGAGAGTTCTGCGAGCGAACCAGCAATGTTTCAACAATATCAGGAGAGTAATTTTTGTTCGAATTGTGAGTCGTTGCATTGTTGATTATCTTGCTTTATACACAGTTTTTCAATGACCATTTTTTGCCCTGCTGTTTTTCTGCAGCCTTTTGTAAGATCACCCTATTTAGATCTTTCAGTGTTTTAAAATAGCTGTTGCTTGTCTGAACTGTTGGGTGTTACTCAGTGATCATTATGGTGACTTAAAGCATAATTTAATGACATGATCTGATTCTTTGTAAATAATGTGTACATAAATTTATTCAATTTTGCGAAACAAATAAAATACCCTGAGAGTAGCATGGGAAACACACGGTTCATGACAGCGTTGAGATACAGATTTGGAGAATGCATAGAAGTCTTTGCAAAGAACGATAATTGGTGAAAAACAATGACAATTGCGCATAAGTGAAATGTCGGTAACGTTGGCGTTGGCATTAGATTCGTAGAGACAGGGCAGTGACAACGTCTGGCACCACTTGGGAGATTGCGGCTTTGCGCAGCGCTTCGGTCCATCTGAGAATTTTGATTTGATTTTAAGAAATGTGTTGAATTTTTTAGAGTTCGTATAGATGGTTTCTCTTGTGAAGTGGTTCTTATTGAGACCGTATGCTTATGAGTGATTGTTCGCAAGCAGCGCCAATCATGGGCCTGCACATTACTCCTCAATATTCACTGAGAGTTTTCTGTACGGAAAGAACGTGAGTTCCAATAATGCTCCTTTTGAAAAAGAGCAGAAAAATTAAATACACTGGGCTCCCACGCTTATAGCTGTGGTACAGCTGTCAATCATAATTTTATACAAATAGGTCAAGCGGGTCGACTGTTCGCTGTCAGGTGTGAAAGTAGAATTGCTAAGATGTGCGGCACTGGAGAAAAAACTAGTAAGCATCCTGTGAAACGAGACCCTTGTTTTCATCACTGATTTCCGTGAGCGTTCCAACAAACTTGTCATCAATGTGCGCTGTGCTCTGCCTTTGCCAAAACGAGTGGGATTCAACTACGAGAAGCAACAGCGGGGCAGCCAATCAGGAGGCGAGAGGCACCAAGGCGCCATTGTTAGACAACTTGGCCAGAACGATACATCCGTCGCTTATGAACTGTGAATGAGGTAAGCATTCTTAAGGAAGACGAGGTGCAGGTCACCCAGTAATGGAATCACTGGTCAACGACACCTCTTTGGAAAACTCCTGTCATCCGCAGGATTCGAACCTGCGCCTCCGAAGAAGAATGCGACCTAAACGCAGCGCCTTAGACCACTCGGCTAAAATGGCACATTCGTATGAGACGTACTGCTGAATGAGCCCAGCATTCCCAGGATGAGCTGCACGTCGTCCGATAATGGGAACATTGGTCAACGACATACTCTTGCAAAATCTGTAATCAGCTCGTCTGCAAGATCCGAACCTACGCCCTCCGAAGAGGACTGCAACCTACGGAGCGCCATACACCGCTTCAGAATGGCACATCCGTCAATGACGTACTGCGGAGCATGGTCTGCATTTGCCAACAGGGTAAGCCTTCCGGTTAAAGGATCAGCAATAAACGATAGCCCAGCTGCAAATTTCCGCCATCCGCAGGATTCGAGCCTGTGCCCTCCGATGAGGACTGCGACCAGAACGCCGGCCTTACAATTAGAGAAGCGGGTAAGGAATTGGCACATTTTAACGGGCGCGTTCTGCGGCTACAAAAGTGTCACCTCCTGGTGATTGGGAGCACCAGCTTCCCTGCACAGTGACAAATTTCCCCTTCTTCGTTGATGATATCGCGCGTTTTGTGCTTTTGCACCGCGTGAGACAATAGCGATATTGCGAGCGCAGCCGCCGTACACCAAATCTTTGAATTTGGATTGTAAATCCGCAATACCTAGGTACGATGAAACGTTTTCAATGATGTTCGATCTGTCTAGCTTATAAGAGTTGCAGTAATGGAAGTTTGATCGAAATGACGTGTTAAGGCACTAAGAGGGAAATTTCGCTCAATTTCCCTTTAGTGGTTCCTGAATTAATTTGGTTAGGTTGTTTTAGTAAAAACACATATCATCCCGCTCGAAAGTTTTCTATGCGCTTTAGTTATTCCTTTTTATCGACACGCCTACATTATTGAAAAGAAAACGAGGAATTTATTAAGCAGGCACATCCGTAAGGTCTGGAAAACGAAGCCACAGAGTATTTGGCTTTCCCGTGGACCATGTGGTTTTTAAGAATCAATGTGTGACTTACAAAATGAGTACAAAGACCTTATCAATAAGTCGCACAAGCGCAAGAAAAAGGGATGGCTCGGGTGGGACACGTTACCGAGTCACAATGTCACACGAGGTGCAGAAAGTGGGACGCGTTACCGCGTCACGCCGTCGTCATTGTCTTAACATACAGTTTTTGTAGTACCTGCCTTTAGCCCTCATGTGATTCTCTGACACTCCGTTTCTACAAGTGTAAAAAGGGGTCCAATCTGGCTCACGGGGCGGGTAGTAAGCGCAGGGATCATGGATACCGTGGCATTAACCGTATTATCATGTATGTGCGGTCTCGACGGGGTTAAACCGGAACATTTAAAGAACGCAGCGCCAGTTATTATCAAAAATTTGACTCGACTCTTCACGCGTTACCTGTCGGAATGCAAGGTACCCACCCCGTGGAAAACCCGCAGGACTGTGTTGCTGTACAAGAAGGGGGACTTGGACGATTGACAACTATCGCCCAATCTGCCTGCTGTCTGTAATCTATAAACTGTTCACTCAAGCCCCTCAACAGGATTGGCAGAATACTGGGTGAAGGACAGCCACGCGAGCAAGTAGGGTTTAGAAGAGAGTTCAGCACGATCGACCATATCCACACGGTTACAAGAGTCATTGAAGTTTCACGGTGAGTACAAGTTGCCGCTCTGTCTTACGTTTATAGATTGAAGAAGGCCTTCGACTCTGTGGAGACAGAAGCGGTCATCGAAGCCATATGCAACCAGGGCGTTCCTACTCAGTACATGAAGATTCTTCGTGAGCTCTTCAGCAACTTTACGACCAGGTTCTCACCATTCTACAAGGAGGTCATCATCGACGTCAAGAGAAGGGTTCGACCAGGCGACTCCATCTCGCCCAAACTCCAGCGCCGCTCTCGAGAACGTCATGCGCCAACTGGAATGGGAAGACATGGGAGTGGAGGTCGTCGGCCGGCAACTACACCACCTTCGTTTTGTTGACGACATCGTTCTTATAACGCCAAATATCGAGCAAGCGGAGCGAATGCTGGCTGATCTGCGCCTTGATAAGGTTGGTCCGCAGCTGAACCTAACGAAGACGATCTTTATGAGAAACGGATTGGTTCCTATGCCCTTCATGCTCAACGGAACGAACATCACTGAATGCTCCAGCTACGTGTACCTAGGTTGGGAAATCAATATGATGAACGATCTAGCTTCAGAGCTGAGCAGGAGGAAACGAGCGGCATGGGGAACGTTTAAGAGATGGAGGGAGTAGTACGAAGAACATCCGGCTTCGTGCCCACCTCTTCGATTCCGCTGTCCTTCCTGCCCTAACCTACGCCTCAGAGACTTGGACTCTGCGCAGGCACGACGAGCATGCAGTCAGCGTTATCCAACGCGCTGTCGAGAGGACGATGCTAGGAGTAACCCTATACACGCAAGTGCGGAGTGGAATCCGAAGTTCGGAACTACGCCAACGATCGAAGATCAGGGACGCTGCCGTTTTCGTCAAGGAATCAAGGATAAGGTGGGCCGACACATCATGCGATTTTGCGACGACCGTTGGACCAGAGCGCTTACCGACTGGATCCCTCGCGACGTCAAACGAACATCTGGACGACCGCCGGCCCGATGGTCAGACCTCTTCTCGAAAGCTCTGAAAGAAAGGAATTCGTGTCCCTCGAGCAAGGAGGATCCATTGGACCACTTTGGCACGCGACAGGGACGAATGGAGACGTTGCTGGCACCCGCTCGAGCGAATCGACGATCAACGGGACGACAGGTGATACAGGTGATTTATGCGAGTCATAGCAAGTGGGATAGGTTTTCAAACGTCTGAATTAATTATAGAATGTTTAGTGAACGTACCTATGAAATGAATATGAACCACTGGTGCGGAAAAAGTACTCGTGCGTTGAGTACACCAGCTTGAAACAATTGCAATGATGCACGCGATCGACAACAGATGGCATGCATAATTTATACTCGAGCAGTGGGAGGTTGGCTAATGGGGCAGTATCCTGAAAATCGCAGATTGAGGTGGAGTGAACAGGAGGTGTGAGGTGGAGTGAACAGGAGCTTGGGGACTACCAGGAAGAAAAGGTTTGAAGCAGGAGAAAGAAGCATTTACGAGCGCCTTTCAAGGATGGAGTTTCGTCTCATAGTGTATTCAGTCTAGCGCATCTGTGTGAGTAGGAATACTTTTAAACTACTTTACATATATTCATTTGAAGAATGTCTTGTAACGGAACACACACATTCCACACACACATCGCATAACATATATTCATCTTGAAGAAGCGTCTTGTAAAACGGAACACACACACACTATCACACACACATTACATAGTATTCATTGAAAACTGTCTTGTAACGAACACACACACACACTAGCACACACACACACACAGTCACACACACACACACACCACCACAACACACCACCCACACACACACACACACCACACACACACACACACACACACACACACACACACACACGACACACAACACACACACACACCACCACACCACACCACACACACAACACAACACTCGGCCACACCACACAACACCACACACTACACACACACACACCACCACACAACACACACAACACACACACACACACAACACACACACACACACCACCACACACAGGACCACACACACACACACACACACACACATCACACACACACACACAACACACACACACACACACACAGCATTGTCTCACACACACCACACAACACACACACGCACACCACACACACACCAACACCACACAGCACACACACACACACACACCCACACACAACACACCACACACACACACACGACATTACACACTACACACAACACACACCCACCACACACACTCACAACACACACACACCAACACGACACACACACACATCAACACACAACCACACCACACACACATCACACACAACACACACACACACTGCACAACACAACATACACACACACACACACACACACTACGCACACACACCACAACACACACACACACACACACACCACACACACACACACACACACACACACATTGCAACACACAACACACACACACACACACACACGATCACATCACACACACATCACACACACACACAGCACAGCATTGCACCATCACACACAAGCTCACACACTACAGCACACACAATCCACACCCACACACCACCACCACACATCACACACACACACACACCACACATCAGCAGCTTCACACATTCACACATGCCACACCACACACACACACCACACCAAAAATCACAGGCACAACACACACAGTCACAAGGCCACACACACATCACACTATCGCACACACGACACACAGCCTTATTCCACACAACACACACACACAGTGGGTCACACACACATATCAACTTGCACAGGATTGCACACACATTCACACACACACACACCAACACATTTCACACAACCCACACAACACACACATCGTTGACACACACATACCATGACTTCTGTCGCTGCCACACACACAAACAACACACACACACACACTCGGGCACACACACCACCAGCATCACCCCCCAGATTGTGTCACACACACAACCACACGCACCAAGGCCGCACCACACACACAAGCACACACACAGGGGTCACACACACACGTGCCCACACCTACACAGCACCACACATCGCGCCCGCACCACATCCACACCCACACACACACACAGCACATCACACACACAGCACACACACACATCACCACACACACCAGTGGCCGTCGCCACACACACACACAGTCAAGCGCCCAGGCCAATTGCCTTCATTTGTGTTTCCACACATCAACACACACACACACACACACACACACACACACAGGCATGTCATCCCACACACACAGTGTTGGTGCACACACACGACACACAGGCAGCCACACCCACATCACATGTGCGCACACACAATACACACACACACCCACACCCACACATCACACACACACACCACAACATCACACCACACACTCTCCATGCCACACGAAGACGCGCTCGCACAGCTTCAGAACCTCTTTCTGAGCTGCCCAGTTTTTTTCAACATTGCTATCGATTACTATCCTCCAAACACCAAGGTATACGGAGGACATACCAGAGAAGATAGCCACACAATCACGTAAAAGGATATGTGTAAGTCTGACCTTGTGAGTTTTGTAGAAAAACAGAGTATGCGAGGTAAGCTCTGTCCATAACCTCTGCCATCCATTGGAGTTCCGCAATTTGCGTAACAAATATCCTGACTGACACACATCCACAATCTGAAAACTCAACTTATAATGCAAATTCTAACTCGGTTACGAAAGGGAACTTTACAAAAGAGCTGCTTACTCCAGCACAGTTTGAACGCCTCAATTCTTAATCAGGGAAGACAGGGGACGGCCTGAATGACTTTGGAGGCAGAGATCGGGATGGTGCTATAGATGTAGCCATGAGTGAATTATTAGTGCTAAAATATGCCTGAACGAGCTGAGCCGGTCGCCCGTGCAGAAATGTACAGCTCGTAACCCAAGTGCTCCTTCCGCTTTTGGCCAAGATTTTTTTTGCATAATTGGGAAGCGAAAGCTCAGCTCATGTCAGTTAAGATAGAAAACGGCACTGTTGTGTATGGTCAAGTTACTGTAGGGGTACAAGGATGCTTCAGGGTTGACGGATGGAGACCGGCAAAGAAGAAGAAGTAAAAGAAATGAAGAAGATCACGAGAGGAATGAAGCAGGATAAACAATCCCACTATATAAAAGTGATCTTCGGTAGGGAACCCAGTGTGTCGTCTCACCGTCTACCTACTGTTACAGCTCTACTTTTTTGCGCATCCTAGGATAAGAAATTGCATGGTGCTTGCTTGGTTTCGCTCAGTATCGGAACCAGTGGGCCTACAGTCACGAAGAATGGCGATGTTACTTATTTCTCCCACCCTACGCCCGTGCATTTGCGTGCGTGAGCGACTACCGTACCCTACGTTTGAATTTAGCTCGCCACTAAACTTCACAGGTTACAGCGGTTTGTAACATTTTTCTGCGCCGTATTTCATTACAGGGAGAGCGCTAGAGTTGCAGCGATAGCGATAACTACTGTCTGAGAGGAGATTTCAATGGTAAGTTACCCAGCTTGAAAAGAGTGTCAACGACCGTCTTCTCAGCAAATAAGAGGAAATAAACAAGGGCTGCGAACATGGTAGTTCATATCCTCAAAAATGAGGCAATGTAACAACAACAGTTTCCAATTAGAAACAAGGGTGCGCATAAAATCTGCACATCTAGAACGTCGTCTTCAGTACCGGTTACAACATCTCGCGGTCTTTAAGAAACGGTGCTAAGTGGATTGTGAAAAAACTTTCGTCCCGGGCGGGACTAGAACCCGCACCTCTCGCTTTCCGGGCAAGTGCACTACCAGTAAGGCAAGGTGCTAAGTGGGTTGGAGGGGTGGGGGCACGCGGCGGCGCGGCCCTCTGTTCGTCCGCTCCTCCAAGGCTTGGTCCAAAGGGGTAGTTACGATTTCGTCACCACGTGGCAGGTTCGAAATATGGCGTCATCGCGGACTGAGCCGTGGAGGAGTAGAGGAACAGAGCCAGGCCGCAGGGTGGTCCCCCCTCATAGCACCCAAGAAAGTAACTCATCAAAGTTTCTAGTCAAGATCTCAAGTTTCCCTTCGTGGGCTAGGTTCTATTTGCTGGTTGGAAATTTTTGTGCGTAAACCATAACATTTATAGATGGAACTCCGTGCTGTTGGCACTGAGACGCTCGACGCCGTTTCTCAGACCATTACAAAGCACAGCTTGCAAAATCTCCTTACGTTGGAATCCTCGATCTCACTCGATCGCACTACTGGTGAAACTTGTCGCTCACAAATACAACTCCCCTCCCATGAATTGTAATTACGACTCCCGTCCATATCAGACGAATGGTTTACCCCGATCAGAGTCACTAGAGCATGGTGCAAATAATTCGCTCCTCTAAGAAAGTACTGTATCAGCTATATTCTCCAAGCGGTATAAACTCAGCTGATCATTAGCCGTTTTCACCTGTGATGTTACTGTCATGGCTAAAGTGCAGAAACCCAACGCCACGGGGAAAAGAAAAATTGCTCGCCTTCTCCTCGAAATCCCTACCCTTCCTTAAGGCTCAGTTCCAAGTATTTTAGGTGCTCACTCACTTGTATGTCCCCCCCCCCCTCCAACGACACGTGCGCCCGGATTTTATGTTTGCTGGTTCTTATTTGCTTGAGTGACAGCTGACGACCGCTACTCTCGATTCATGATCATTCCCTTCTATGTAATATAGCCCCTTCCTTGATCGCACTGTATCCAAAGACCGGCGCAGTTCACACGAATTCAAACCCGCGCGCGGTAATATGACACAGTTCGCACCAGGGTGAAAGTGTCGAGGAATAACCGCTTCTTTACGACACCCCTCCAGAACATGAACCCTGATACGACCCCTTTTTGTGCTCTGCACATCGGGTTTTATATCAAAAAACTATACAGATTCTAGGGAACGCATTGCGCGCTGCCACGTCAATGCGGCTGACAAATGACTAGACAATTACTGCCGATAGGTCTTCCTCTTATCTTTAAGACATTTAACCTTGCCATATGGCCGGATAGTAGCAACATGAAGGAGCTACAGGTCCCATACACAGTTAAAACATCATCGCGCTCCAGTAAATTGCGGCGGCTAACTAAACGCGAGCGCGCGTGCCGCTGGCTGCATAGAGCGGGCGCTGTTGAAAAAATCGTCAAATGTACCACCTATTCAAGGGATCTATAACTTTCTCATTGATAAACCTTTCAAGAAATGAAGGCAAGTTTGAAGTTCACGCAGACTATCTAGTTCTTATTTGTCTAAACGTCTCTTCTCGCACGCCTATGCTGAGAGTGGGAAAACGGTCGAGAAATTTCGCAGGGAAATGAAATTCAAATGCGAGTTTCCCACTCTTTGAAAGGCATTAGGCTGTCTTCGTTAAGCAATGCTTGTGAAAGTCGAGAAAGCGTGCGAAAGAAAATTTACGCTTCCTGATTAGGTTCCCAGTATGTGTCTATCGTCTCCTTACTCTCGAAGAAACTGCTCGTTACGGAAATGCAAGGAATATTTCGACGACAGTCGAAGACTCTATTACTCCCTTGCGTAGTATGAGGACTTCTTATGAACTACCTTCAAAGACTTCTGCTACGTCGTAGTTCGATGGAAAGTAAATTGAAAAATGATGCGCTTGGCGCGAATCCATCCGTCTTGTTATGGCCTGCGGTGACGCCCACTCGGACTCATTGGGAAGGTGTTTTGTCCTATGACGCCTGCGTTAAGCACTCAAAGATATTTCCAGCATTATCTAATTAGAAATATACTTTTAGTGGTCATAAGTGATGATCTGATCATCTCCTTTATTCCAACGCTCTTCCTTTCCAACCCGTTCTGATGAATGACAGCTCGCGCAGATCTGATACGGCCAAGAAGCCTGCGAATCTGCAGTTTTGAACTTTCTACCAATATGCTCTGCTCCTTCCGGACTTTCGAAGCATCAGTGCATCTAGAGTAGATACTCGTGGGCCTTTTCCTACGATTCTTTTGCAGGACGTGTGCGTCGCTATCTAATAACTGATGCACTACGAACGCAACCAAACAACCACTTTAAGAATTATTGACACAT